CATCTGCTCCAGGAAGAAGGGTTCTGAGCGACCAAACAACGAAGGCACGTCTCCAACTCCTGGTTCAGGCTTTCTGTTTGGCCATTGGACTCTGGATGGTATCCGGACGAGAGGCTGACTGTGGCTCCGATCAGGTTACAGAACTCCTTCCAGAACCGCAATATGAACTGTGGTCTGAAACAATGTCTTTTGGAAAACTATGAACACGAAAAACGTTACTCATCATTACTTCAGCCGTCTCTTTGGCTGATGGGAAGCTTGGGCAAGGCAATAAAATGTACCATCTTCGAGAAACGGTCCACCACCGTGAGTATGGTGGTGTTACCTTTAGACTCCGGTAAACCTGTGACGAAGTCCACAGAGATCTCAGATCACGGCCGGCTGGGAATGGGGAGTGGCCGGAGAAGCCCCATTGGCGCCCTGGAGGATGTTTTATTCCGAGCACAGACAGGGCATGCCCCCACATACTCCCGAACTTCTCGCTCCATTGATGGCCACCAGAAACGTTGCTTGATGAAAAACATTGTTCTCTTAACCCCTGGATGGCAAGTGAGCAGCAAGGTGTGAGCCCAATGGATCACCTGTGAACGCATGGTAATAGGCCCAAACAGACGATTTTGCGGGCAACAACTAGGTGCAGGGCTCTCACCGTTAGCTTGCTTCACCTCTGTTTCTATCTGCCAAGTCACCGCTCCAACCACACGGTTCAGTGGCAGGATGGCTTCAGGCTCTTTGGCAATAGGCTCGGGGTCAAATAGACGTGACAGGGCATCGGGCTTCATGTGCCGGGGCCTGTAAGACAAAGTAAAATTTAAAGCGGTTGAAAAATAAAGTCCATCTAGCCTGACGAGAGTTCAAACGTTTAGCTTTTCTTATGTATTCCAGATTATTATGATCTGTCCATACTAAGAATGGAAACTGAGCCCCCTCTAACCAATGCCGCCACTCCTCCAGAGCTATTTTTACAGCCAGTAACTCACGGTTTCCCACATCGTAGTTCTGCTCAGCCGGCGAGAGTTTTCTGGAGAGGAAAGCACAGGGATGCATCTTGTTGTCCTCTTCCGACCGCTGCGACAGGACAGCACCTACACCTAAATTGGAGGCATCCACCTCCACCACAAACTGACGGCTTGGGTCAGGAACAGTTAGAATGGGGGCAGAGGTGAACATACTTTTGAGCCGAGTGAAAGCCTCCTCGGCCTGAGTAGACCACACAAACGGAACCTGAGGGGATGTAAGAGCATGAAGTGGTAGTGCAATAGCGCTGAAGTTTCTGATAAATCTTCGATAGAAGTTAGAAAACCCCCAAAACTGCTGGACCTTCTTTCGGCTGTCAGGAGTCTTCCACTGGGCTACTGCACTAACCTTAGCAGGATCCATTTGAATAAGACCCGGGGATATGATGAAACCAAGGAATGAAACAGTAGTAGCATGGAAATCACATTTGTCAGCCTTGACAAATAACTGATTCCTGAGGAGAAGCTGGAGAACCTGGCGTACATGATGGATGTGGGAGTCTTTGTCGGGTGAGTATATCAGAATGTCGTCGAGGTAGACAAAAACAAACCGATTCAAGCAGTCTCTTAAAACGTCATTGACAAGGGCTTGAAAAACTGCAGGAGCATTGGTGAGACCAAAAGGCATAACTAAATACTCATAATGGCCTGTGGGGGTGTTGAAACCAGTCTTCCATTCATCACCTTGGCGAATTCTGACCAGATGATATGCATTACTAAGATCTAATTTGGTGAAGATCTTTGCAGCTTGAAGCTGCTCGAAAGCTGACACCATGAGTGGGAGAGGATATGTATTCTTGACTGTGATGTTGTTTGACGGGGAATAGTCAATAAGGGAACCGTCCTTTTTCCCCACAAAGAAAAACCCCGCCCCAGCAGGGGAGGATGAGGGACGAATAAGCACTGACTTTAGCGAAGCGTCTATATATTCTTTCATGGAATCTCTTTCAGGACCAGAGATTGAGTAAAGTCTCCCTTTAGGTATAGGCACTCCTGGGATCAAATCAATGGCACAATCATAAGGTCTATGAGGAGGAACAGTCATGGCTTTAGCCTTGCTAAAAGCTTCCCCAAGGTGATGATAGCAGGTAGGTACTAATCCCAAGTCTGGAGGTTCAGGTTTCTGGTCAATGTCTGGCGACACAGTCCTTACACTATTGCAAGAAGCCCCTCCAACAGCTATCTTTTCCCCCTGTCTGAGACAATCAGTAGTGCATTCTTCCCCCCACCCTTTAATCTTACCAGAACGCCAATCAATGTTTGGATTGTGTTTCCTCAACCAGGAAAAAACCAATATGACGGGGTGTTGAGCTGAGTTAAACAAGTGAAAGGATAGGAGTTCCCTATGATTATCAATGACAATTTCTAAGGGTTCAGTCTTATGAGATATCTTGAAAAGCAATCTGCCGTCCAAGGCGCTGGCCTGTAGAGGCTGTCTCAACAGTTCGGTCTTGACTTTTAACTCATTAGCTAACCCCCAGTCCATCGGACTCTCATCTGCCCCTGAATCAATTAATAGCCCTTGAGTTAATGTTATGGTAGCAACATGTACCTGGGCGCGAGAAGGGAAACCAGAGGCAGAGAGTCGGCTCACCAGCGCCCTCCTCTTCCCTGGTGAGCCTGCTCTTTTAGTGGCTGGCTGACAGGCTGGTAGCATGTGACCTTGTTGTCCGCAGTAGAAACACAACCCCTCTAGAAGACGGCGACGCCGCTCCTCAGCTGACAGCTTGGCACGTCCCAGCTGCATGGGTTCCTCCGATGAGCTGGGGGATGCAGTCCTCTGTGATGATGGTGGGGCTTGACGAGGGAAGAATCTCTCAGATGAGGGAGGCGAGGTGGAGTGTCCTCTGTGGTAGACGTTGGCGGAAACAGCTCTGAGTTTCTCCTTTCTTCTCTCAGTAAGGCGATTATCAATCCTGATAGTCATGGCAATTACCGAGTCTAGATCAGGGGGTAGGTCTAGTGGAGCCAACTGATCCTTAACAGGGTCAGAGAGTCCATTGAGGAAGGCATCAAAAAGAGCTAATGAGTTCCAGCCGCTATCTGCGGCTATGGTGCGGAATTCAATGGCATAGTCTGCAACAGTGTGATTACCTTGTTTATGCTTGGATATAACTCGGGCTGCCTCTCTGCCAGGAGAAGTGTGGTCAAAAATCCTTCTTAAAGAGTCAGTGAACATCTGAAGAGAACCACATACTTGCGAGTCCCTTGACCACTTGGCCGATGTCCATGCTGCCACCCGTCCAGTAAGGTGAGAGACCAGGAAAGCAACCTTAGACCGCTCCGTGGGGAACGCCGCAGGCTGGTGTTGAAAGTGTAGGTCACATTGCACCAGGAAGGGACGACAGCCATCAGATTCCCCGGAAAACTTCTCTGGAGGGGCCAGACGGATTGAAGAGGCGAACAGGGCTGCAGGAGAAGCTGGGGACACTCCAGAGGCCACTGGAGGCTAGGGTGAGGGTGCTGTCCCGAGGTGAGTAAGCATACGCTGGATCTGCTCGGCCAGGTGATTAACTTTTGTGGTTACGGAAGACTCGAAACCCTTTTGGTTACCAACAAGATCCTTAACTCCCTGCTGAATGGCAGACATCTGCTCCTCCTGTTCGTTCAAAACGTTTTCCCTGAAAGCGAAGGGCAGCTTGCAGCTGTTCTGAGTCGGCTGGGTCCATTTTACTAGCCAGTTCGTACTGTCACGGCTAGGCAAACCAGTATGAACCCAAAAGCACAACTCGACAAACAAAGTACAAAATAAAGTCTTTACTGAAAAAAGTGGTACTGTGAGCTCTCCGTAGAGGTAACAGGTCAAGGTAACAAAAACACTCTTACGAGGAAAAGGTTAACATAGTATCAAAAATGCAAAAGATAAAGTAAATTCCAAAACTCGGTTCTTAGCAGAAAAAACATGGACTTCACGCTGGCAGTCAGACACATGGGACGAAACGAACTGGCAGCAAGACAAGGGAGACAGAATCTATATATAGGCAGGCTAAGGGGGAACCGGTGCAGACAATTAGGGCGTAGTCGACACACAAAGGGAGGAAGTGAGGTAATCTGCAACAAGAAGGAAAGGTTACTACAAAATAAAACAGGATACAAGACTGAACTAAAAACATTAACATAACAGATTTTACGAGACATAACACCCCCCGAGCATGGTTGCCATGGTTACCTGGTTGCCCTTCTATTTATTCTCCGCGTTGGATTTAGCAACATGTAGTTCATGTAGGTCTCCATGTCCACTTGTTGCTGATGGTTGTGGTAGAGGAGCTGTAGATTTGGGTGAGCAGCAGAGGTGGGGAGAGGCAGGGCTCTGGCTGTTTCGGCGGCCTCTGTTTCTCTTTTTCTCCCTCCCCGAGGCGAGCGTGTGCTCTTGCTGTAAAAGGCAGGTGCACCGCACCCACTGCCACTAACTCTGAGCCTGGCTCCCGAGCAGGACGTTCTCCCCGGTAGTCCACCATCAGATGAAAAACACCCACCTCTCCGCCTCTTCCAAGGGACGAGGGAACCGTGCGGGGGGGTCTGCTGGAGGCTCCTGCTGGGTGCATTGTCCTGTGAGTTACCGGGACCTGGCTCGAAACACTCGGAACACTGTTGTTGTTGTTGGCGAAACAAGTCTCTGTAAAATGTATGCAAATTACAGAAACTTAGTTTTCTAAGAAATGTTATTGCACATAAAGCAGAGTAACATCTAAATGCACTTGTTATACCAGATAGACACATGGTTTACCTTAATTTATTGTGTTTAACTTCATTTTGCTGCAGCTTTTCACCATTAAGTTTAAATAACATTTTTTGCCTTTGAAGCAGGACGTAGGTTGCAGATGATCTTGTCGTCTCCCTTTTGATTGACATCTCTTCCTTTTCTCACATCAAAACAAAAATCCCCACACTTATGAGTCGGGACAGTAAGATATCAGCAACAATAAATGATCCAGTAATATTTATTATTGCCTTCCAACATCCTTTCTGTGTCTTTGTGTGCAGATTCTGATCGGAGAGGCCATTCTGTACTGCTATCTGTCCCGGAGGTCAGCAGCCACTCAGACGGAGGCCAACATCAACGCTGCAGGCTGTAATTTCAACTCCTACATCCGCAGGGCTGTACGCTTCATAGGTGGGAGGACACATGTTAAACACACAGCTGCTTAGATGCATGTTTTCTAACTGAGCCACAAAAACACAAATAACAGTTTGCAGTAACAAATGAGTTTGAGTGGATACTGGATAATAACCCTGGTCCGCCCAGTAGTAATAGTCAGATCGCTACTCCTGCTCATTTTAAAGCTAGGTCTGGGTTGGGTTTCATCCTCTTGAATGTGCGCAGTCTGTTAGGTAAACTAGATTTTGTCCGCATCTGGGCGAGCTCGACTGACGCTGACGTCATTGTTTTATCAGAAACATGGCTAAACAAATATTTTGGCCTCTGACATTGCCTTAAATGGTTATATTGTGTATCGTACCGACCGGCCTAATAAAGGTGGTGGCGTTGCCATTTATGTTAAGAATAAGTTCAGTGTATCCACATTAGTTTCCAAATCTATCAGTAAGCAATTTGAATTTTTAGCCATAAATATAGAAGTGGCAAAGGGTCAACAGGTCATGGTAGTGAGTTGTTACAGACCCCCCTCAGCTGTCAAAGACTCCTTGTCTTCACTAGCAATATGTTATCACAACTAGACTACAAGGAAATAGTGCTACTTGGAGATTTTAACTGGGACTGGTTAACTGCAGTGTCATCCATCCATCCATCTTCTCCCGCTTATCCGTGGTCGGGTCGCGGGGGTAGCAGTTCCAACAGAGAGCCCCAAACTTTCTTTTCCCTGGCGACATCAACCAGCTCTGACTGGGGGATCCCAAGGCGCTCCCAGGCCAGCGAAGAGATATAATCCCTCCACCTGGTCCTAGGTCTACCCCTTGGTCTCTTCCCAGCTGGACGTGCCTGGAACACCTCCCTAGGGAGGCGCCCAGGTGGCATCCTAACTAGGTGCCCGAACCACCTCAACTGGCTCCTTTCGACGCGAAGGAGGAGCGGCTCAACTCCGAGTCCCTCCCTGATGACCGAACTTCTCACCTTATCCCTAAGGGAGACACCAGCCACCCTGCGGAGAAAACCCATCTCGGCCGCTTGTATCCGCGATCTCGTTCTTTCGGTCATGACCCATCCTTCATGACCATAGGTGAGGGTAGGAACGAAAATGGCCCGGAAGACCGAGAGCTTTGCCTTCTGGCTCAGCTCCCTTTTCGTCACAACGGTGCGGTAAAGCGACTGCAGTACCGCTCCCGCTGCTCCGATTCTCCGGCCCATCTCACGCTCCATTGTTCCCTCACTCGAGAACAAGACCCCGAGATACTTGAACTCCTTCACTTGGGGTAAGGACTCATTCCCTACCTGGAGTGGACAGTCCATCGGTTTCCTGCTGAGAACCATGGCCTCAGATTTGGAGGTGCTGATCCTCATCCCAGCCGCTTCACACTCGGTTGCGAACCGATCCAGTGAGTGCTGAAGGTCGCAGACCGATGAAGCCATTAGAACCACATCATCTGCAAAAAGCAGTGGTGCAATCCTTAGTCCACCGAACTGCAGACCCCCTCCCCCATGACTACGCCTCGAAATCCGATCCATGTATATTACAAACAGGATTGGTGACAAAGCGCAGCCCTGGCGGAGGCCAACCCTCACCGGAAATGGGTCCGACTTACTGCCGAGGACCCGGACACAGCTCTCGCTTTGGGAGTACAGAGATTGGATGGCCCTGAGTAGAGACCCCCTCACCCCATACTCCCGCAGCACCTCCCACAGTAACTCCCTGGGAACTCGGTCATACGCCTTCTCCAAGTCTACAAAACACATGTAGACCGGATAAGCGTACTCCCAGGCCCCCTCCAGGATCCTTGCGAGAGTAAAAAGCTGATCCGTCGTTCCACGACCAGGACGGAATCCGCATTGTTCCTCCTCAATCTGAGGTTCGACAATCGGCCTGACCCTCCTTTCGAGTACCTTAGAGTAAACTTTCCCGGGGAGGCTGAGTAGTGTGATGCCTCTGTAATTGGCACACACCCTCTGATCCCCCTTTTTAAATAGGGGAACCACCACCCCGGTCTGCCACTCCTTCGGTACTGTTTCCGACTAGGTTGGTTAACTGCAGTGTCAGAGGATTTTAAAAACCTTGGTATCTCTTTAAATGTTACTCAGATTGTTGACAGTCCTACTCGCCCTAACATTAAGTCCCCTAATACATCCTCCCTAATTGATCTAATTTTAACTAATGTTCCCCATAAATATTCATCTGTGGGAGTATTTGCAAATTATCTGAGTGATCACTGTGTTGTAGCCACAATTAGGGACACTAAGGTCCAAAAGGTTAAACCTCGCATTATCATTAAGAGAGACAAAAAACATTTTGTGGAGCAGGATTTTGTTCAACTCACTACCATGACCTGTTGACTAAGATTGGTTCAAAAGACCTCATGAAAGACGACACAGGAAGTGAGGATACCCGGCCCGGAGGAAGCCCGGGGTCCCCTTCTGGAGCCAGGCTCAGAAGGAGGACTCGTCGGCGAGCGTCTGGTGGCCGGGCTTGCCACAGAGCCCGGCCGGGCCCAGCCCGAAAAGGCAACGTGGGCAACACCTCCGCTTCTCCGTCCCGCGGGCCCACCACCTACGGGAAACAGCGATGGGGTCGGGTGCGCTGCCAGAAGGGTGGCAGTGAAAGCGGAGGGTCTCGACGGACCAGACCCGGGCGACAGAAGCTGGCTTTGGGGACGTGGAACGTCACCTCTCTGGGGGGGAAGGAGCCGGAGCTTGTGCGGGAGGTGGAGCGTTACCAGTTGGATCTGGTTGGGCTCACCTCTACGCACAGCGTCGGCTCTGGAACCTTACTTCTGGATAGGGGTTGGACTCTATTCTTCTCCGGAGTTGCTCAAGGTGTGAGGCGCCGGGCGGGTGTGGGGATACTCACAAGTTCCCGGTTGGGTGCTTCGTTGTTGGAGTTTACCCCAGTGGACGAGAGGGTCGCCTCTCTACGCCTGCGGGTTATGGGGGGGAAAACTATTACTGTTGTGTGTGCGCTTATGCACCCAACAGCAGTTCAGAGTATACAGCCTTCTTGGAGACCCTGGAAAGAGTCCTGTATGGGGCTCCTGAAGGGGACTCTTTAATCTTGCTGGGAGACTTCAACGCACATGTGGGCAATGATGGAGAGGCGTGATTGGGAGGAACGGCCCCCCTGATCTGAACCGGAGTGGTGGTTTGTTACTGGACTTCTGTGCTAGTCATGGATTGGCCATAACAAACACCATGTTCGAACATAAGGATGCTCATAAGTGTACGTGGTACCAGAGCACCCTAGGCAGAAGGTCCATGATCGATTTTGTTATCGTATCATCGGACCTGAGGCCGTATGTTTTGGACACTCGGGTAAAGAGAGGGGCGGAGTTGTCAACTGATCACCATCTGGTGGTGAGTTGGGTCGAGTGGCGGGGGAAGCCTCTGGATAGACCTGGTAAGCCCAAACGTGTAGTTCGGGTGAACTGGGAACGTCTGGAGGAGGCCCAAGTTGTGGAGGCCTTCAACTCACACCTCCGGCGGAGCTTTTCGGGCATTCCTGTGGAGGTTGGGGACATGTAACCAGAGTGGTCGGTGTTCAAAGCCTCTATTGCCGAAGCCGCGGCGGGGAGCTGTGGTCTCAAGGTCCTAGGTGCCTCAAGGGGCGGTAACCCTCGAACCTCCTGGATGACACCGGTGGTCAGGGAAGCCGTCCGACTGAAGAAGGAGGCCTTCAGGGATTTGTTATCCCGGGGGACTCCCGAGGCAGTTGCAAGGTACCAACAGGCCCGAAGGGCAGCAGCCTCATCCGTGGCCGAGGCAAAGCAGCGGGTGTGGGAGAAGTTCGGAGAAGACATGGAGAAGGACTTTCGGGTGGCACCAAAGTTGTTCTGGAAAACTGTCCGACACCTCAGGAGGGGGAAGCAGGGAACCATCCAAGCTGTGTACAGTAAGGATGGGACGTTGTTGACCTCAACTGATGGAGTGTTAGGGCGTTGGAAGGAACACTTTGAGGAACTCCTGAACCCGACAACTCCGCCCTCTATGTTAGAGGCAGAGCTGGAGTATGACGGGGGATCAACACCAATCTCCCAGGGGGAGGTCACTGAGGTCGTCAAACAACTCCACAGTGGCAAAGCCCCGGGGGTGGATGAGCTCCGCCCAGAAATACTAAAGGCTCTGGGTGTTGAGGGACTGTCATGGTTGACACGTCTCATCAACATTGCGTGGAAGTCGGAAACAGTACCGAAGGAGTGGCAGACCGGGGTGGTGGTTCCCCTTTTTAAAAAGGGGGATCAGAGGGTGTGTACCAATTACAGAGGCATCACACTACTCAGCCTCCCCGGGAAAGTTTACTCTAAGGTACTCGAAAGGAGGGTCAGGCCGATTGTCGAACCTCAGATTGAGGAGGAACAATGCGGATTCCGTCCTGGTCGTGGAACGACGGATCAGCTTTTTACTCTCGCAAGGATCCTGGAGGGGGTCTGGGAGTACGCTTATCCGGTCTACATGTGTTTTGTAGACTTGGAGAAGGCGTATGACCGAGTTCCCAGGGAGTTACTGTGGGAGGTGCTGCGGGAGTATGGGGTGAGGGGTCTCTACTCAGGGCCATCCAATCTCTGTACTCCCAAAGCGAGAGCTGTGTCCGGGTCCTCGGCAGTAAGTCGGACCCATTTCCGGTGAGGGTTGGCCTCCGCCAGGGCTGCGCTTTGTCACCAATCCTGTTTGTAATATACATGGATCATATTTCGAGGCGTAGTCATGGGGGAGGGGGTCTGCAGTTCGGTGGACTAAGGATTGCACCACTGCTTTTTGCAGATGATGAGGTTCTAATGGCTTTATCGGTCTGCGACCTTCAGCACTCACTGGATCGGTTCGCAACCGAGTGTGCAGCGGCTGGGATGAGGATCAGCACCTCCAAATCTGAGGCTATGGTTCTCAGCAGGAAACCAATGGACTGTCCACTCCAAGTAGGGAATGAGTCCTTACCCCAAGTGAAGGACTTCAAGTATCTCGGGGTCTTGTTCTCGAGTGAGGGAACAATGGAGCGTGAGATGGGCCGGAGAATT